GAACGAGGTGGAGATCTAGTGGAGCTTGTCTCCACTACTTTTCCTTTCTGGGTAGCGAATTTAATATGCTGTCGTGTCTGTGGTGCCATATTAGTACTAAAATAGAACAACAACATAACAGAGAAATGAGGTCAATTGTTAGTAAAAATAACAACCCACAATACCAAGAAATTGACCCAATCGTGATACAGTACAACCAGCAAAAGAAAATATTTTGAGCTTAGATTACTAAACCTCAGCGAAAAGAAAAAATTCAGCAATTTAACAGCACATTAATCCCTGAGTTCCATTTTATAAACCCAAAATATCAACCACGAAGCATACAACAGTGAAGGTTTAAATCCCTAGCAAACAAGAAGACTACATATCTTCTGATAGCAACAATACTTATCTAAATGAAATAATAAAATTGCAACAAATCATAGTATATGAACCAAATCACAATTAAACAACCATGCCCATAAACAAAATACAAATTCAAACACAAGGTAAGCTATTTAGCTCTAGGCTTTTTTAATCACAAACAAATGCCCTTATCCTATGGAAATATGCATACTAGTCGTCTAGGACTTAAACTAGGTAAAGAACTCCAATGTAAAGTGACATCTCAGCAAGAATATTTATGTGTTTAGGCTCAAATCCTATCTAAAGTGATATAAGCATTGTCTAAGCTAAGCTATGTGAGAACCTTTTTTTACGAAATATAATATGATGATGTATGGTTAATTGATAAACTTAGAGTGAAATTAAATACACTCAGCTGATAAGACATTAAGGGCATTCAAAGCTGATTACATGATAAATGCTGTCATGCACAGATAAAATATATATTTTCTGCTCTAGTTAAAAAAAAAAGTAATTAATGCAAATAAAAAATAGGATTCCCCCTCCCCTCCCCCCCTTAAAATGTTAAACAATTATCCAATTAGACAGGCTCAAAAAAATTCAGATCCATGTTGGGGGGAGTTTTGCATGATATTTTTTTTTTCTAGGATGGAACTTGAAATTTTTAGTTAAAGACGAAACTATTTATCCTTTAAATCAAGCATATGTTTTAATTACATGGCAATATCCGGAGGTAGGCTTGGTAAAACTTAATACTGATGGAGCTGTTAAAGGTAACCCACGGCTGGCTGCATGTAAAGGAGTTTTAAGACATAGTAGATGCCAATGGCTAATTGGTTTCTCTTATCGAGTTGGCCATTGTAGTTCTATTATGGCGGAATTATGAGGCATTTTAAAAGGAATTCAAATGGTTTGAGAAAATAGTTGGAGAAAGTTAGTAATAGAAAGTGACTCTTTAACAACAGTCACATGGCTTATTGCAAGGGGTGAGCCAGCCTGTGAGTCTCATCTTGTTACTCGTATACGAGCATGGATGGACAGAGAGTGGTCAGTGATAATAAAACACATGTATAGAGAAGGAAACTGTTGTGCGAATTGGCTGCCAAACTTTCCTTTGGTGAATCTGGATCAAGAGGACTTTTGTATTTTCCCATCTCTCCTTCCTGGTATTTTCTTTTTGTACTTAGCTGATTTAGGTGATTTTGGTAAAACTCGTTATATTTGTCCTTTCTAGCCTGTTTCTAGGGTGCTTTTACCCCATTCAGGATACAAAAAAAAAAATCAAGTATATGTTAGTATACAAATTTTATTTCAATAAATAAGTACAAGAAATTTCTCTGGATTTTTAAATCAAATTAAATGCAAGATAACTTTTAAAAAAAAGTTATATAAAAATAGGAAGTAAGGACATGAGACTAAAATGAAATTCAAAATTTCTCTTATCTTTTTAATTAGGCTACATTTGAAAAATATGAAATAAGTTGCGTGGAAAGTTTATCTATTATATTGATTAATAAATGATTATTACATTTTCAACTAAAAAGTTTATGTATTATTTCCAAAAAAAGTTTATGTATCGAATAAAAAAAAAACTAAAAAGTTTAAACGTCCCCACAATCTTCACTAGCTGCAGCAAAACAGACTTCACCTAGCTATTTTTTAGGCAAAATCCAGCAGAACTAAGTTACAATTGGTACAAGAAAAATTATCAATCGTGGTTACAATTTTAAAAAGGAAAAATCAAATCTGCATTTACTGTAGATTATTATCTACAGCTACTGATAGAGAAATGATGCTGGTCCCAAAAAAAGAAAAAAGAAAAAAGAAATTAAGGTAGGACTCTTCTAATTTTGTGTCAGCAAGCAGCTGCAGATAGTACTCAGCAATAACAGTAAATTTGATTTCCCCTTTCAAAATATAACAAATTTATTTCTTAAACAAACAATAATATTAATTAGTTGAAAATTGTAAATCAAGTAACATTTTATTTTGCATACTTTTTTCCATTTGATGTTTGACCTGAATTACGGGTTCCAGAATTAGTTCCAATGCAAAGCGCGAATGTCGATGACAACTTGCAAAATGCAGCTATGTTGCATAACCATCATGAAGACTGAGGAGTGTGGACTTTATGCTTTAAATGCATAATAAATTAAAAATGGAGTACTCAAAACAAAAGCACGTTACTCGATATTTGACTTAGCCAAATTCATTAAATTCTTCTACCCACTAACATTTATGACATAGTTGGTATTGCATGGCTTCCAAAGACCAAATTAAGTATCGAGCAACTGTCTCAAAAGTGTACTTGTCCACTGCTCCAACCCTCGAATCATTTTATTTTCTTATCAAATCAAAAGTTTGGATTCCCCATTCTTACCACCGTTTTCAATTTTATGATCAGCACTAACTTTGGAGGAGAAAGTGAACGCACGAAACGACTAGAAATTAAACAAGGTTTCATCTATATATATAGTTTGAAGCTTCGACTTCGACCACGAGCCATACCCTTGTCTTTTTTGTTTTGGTAAATAAGCCATACCGTTGTCTTATACAATTGTTCGTAGATCTTTCATTTATAATTTTTTTAGGAAACTTTTAATTTCTTGTGTAAGACAAACTCTGCAATAATGGTTATGATGTGAATGTGATATTTCCTTAAACAATGTGGATATATATTTTATCAAACTAGTAAAAATTTATGTAAACTTTAACAGAATTGGTACATTCTCGATTTAAATTTATGAGCCTGAATTTACACATGATTTTGTCATAAAAATGCACAGTTTTGGTCAATTTTGTTGGGGAAATCGATAAGAGTGGTACAAAAATGATTTTATTCCCTCTCTTTCCCTGTACGCGTAACCTCATTTGTTAGTTTTCAGTTCGTCTGTTGTGGCATCCAAATTGAGATAACTATCATTTTATCAAGTTTTGACAAAATATATGCACAAATTATGTTTAAGTAAACACATCTTTCTCTTTCTTGATAATCACCAAATTCAAATATATATATATATATATATATATATATATATATATATATATATATATATATATATATATATATAGGGTCAGGATCATTTTACACAAGTGTAAGTTACACTCTCAATCTTGTCCGTTTATCTCACTTATATCTAAGGGCTCTAATTTTTTTAGTAAACTGAGCCATTGAATACAAGTCGATCAATGGTCAAGATTGAGTATAAGACTTCTAACTCTTACACCAGTGTAAGAATATCTTGCCCCATATATATATATATATATATATATATATATATATATATATGAGGTAGGATCTTTTGACACCGGTGTCAAATTTGAAATTTGACACCTCATCTGAGAGCCGTTAGATCAAAAAAGATCAACGATTCTGATTTGTAAGCATGTGACACCATTGATCTTTTATGATCTAACGGCTCTCAGATGAGGTGTCAAATTTCAAATTTGACACCGGTGTCAAAAGATCCTACCTCATATATATATATATATATATATATATATATATATATATATATATATATATATATATATATATCATTAATAACGCCCTTGTTAATGCATGACCAATTAATGGGATATGTTGGCGATCATGTGCAGTACACTGAAGGCATTATTCTGTGTCAAATTGTTAATTTATTGGGTGGAGAATAATTCAATTGCTAACTTTCTTGTTTTTCAGTAGGAAATGTGATTATATGATTATTTTCAAATTAGTATAGGATATCCATTAGATAATGCCAACTATCATTAATATCAGAAAATTATTTTTATATTATTAAAATAATTAACTTCAAATTATTTTATAATATTTTTATTACAATACCATTTTTATTGAAAATTTAAATTATTTATACAGATATTTTAACTTTTGTACGTATAAATAACAGTTTAATATTTTTTTCCATAGAAATTAAACTTCACAATTGCCTTGTTAATATCACCTTATAAAAAAACTTTTAACAAGAATCTATATTTATGATAGGACCTTCTTTTTAAGATCATTTCGGTATTTAAATTTTGTTTAAGAGTTGGATTACCACGGACTAGTGTTTATGATGAACCAACCCTATATGTAAGTATATATAAACCATTTAAAAGACAATCTAAAATTATTTACATGTTTATTATAATACATAATTATATAATTTAATGATATATGTATTACTTTATATAAATTCATTATGAATTCAAGTTCATTAAAACAATTCTTTTATTTTTTTTAAAATCTAGTATTTTAATTATTTAATAATTATTAATTAAAATTTAATTAATTTCTACATTTATTATAAGCATTAATAATGAACAAACGTTTAAAAACAAACTCTAAGAAAACCAAGTTAACTGAAGCAACTCACTGTAATGGGCAAATTTCCATCAGTGCAAAATGCAATTCCTCATTAAATTTTGGTCAGATGATATGAATGAGGTGGGGGAGGTAGTGGTAATGGGGGCCATTTCATTCAATCTCACATTATATCCGCGTCAATTTAATGCACCTAACACTCCCAACTGTAAAAGCATATAGGCCTTGTTCTTTATCTTTATCTTTCTACTATATATATATATATACTCGTACTAATGTCACACCTTCCTCATTCATTCACTCACACACACTCCAACCTATAGCTACACAAGAGCCACCCTTTCTTGCTTCAATGGTATCTGTGAATCTTCTAAGCAAGTTGTTTAACATGAACATAGTTGTGGCACTTGTTGTGGTTCTTGGCTTGTGGAGTAGTAGTGGGGTTGGAGCTGCACCACAAGTACCATGCTACTTCATCTTTGGAGATTCTTTGGTGGATAATGGGAACAACAATGAGCTCCAATCTTTGGCCAGAGCTAATTACTTGCCTTATGGGATTGATTTCCCTGGTGGACCTTCTGGAAGGTTTTGCAATGGAAAAACTACTGTTGATGCAATTGGTGAGCTTCCCTCTCACCCGCTTTCTTAACTTACTAGCTTTATAAAAATTGCATGGAAAATCGTCATGCTGTTAATAAACCCACATTACAATAGCTATATATATACTTCTATGGTCTTAAATTAGCTAGTTTCACATGCATGCAACTCCTCATTGTCAAAATCATAGTCATAAAATCTATTCCTGAGTCTTTATCTAAAGGTTTAACTTTTGATAACTTGACATACGTTATACAAATATTTTTGTATGTTTTGTTGTTCCTTGTTTTGTTGATTAGGATAGGTAATTGTTATTAAATGCATCTAAAAATATGCATGCATTCATTTTCAAATTTCAACTGTGTTGTACACCAAAGATGTGACCTTTAAAGTTTTATTGAAAGACAGTTATTATGATAAATTCAGACAATAAATTCCCACCAGTTATTTTACCTAGAAGGAAAGACTTTAAGAAGTACGAGTCTTTTTACCGGTGAAAAATAAATAACACATGCAGATGTCAGTGAATAAAAAAGATCTAGAAAACTGCTTTTGGCACTACTCTGAGTTACTCTACTCCTCTCATGAGGTGTGTGACTGGCCCCTTCAATTCCAAGCACATGGGGTCTGTTTGGCGGCATTCAATGTGAAATTTAACAGAGTCTGGGGTTAGTTCTTTGACAAAGAGGTGGAAATACAAGTAAAGATAGAAAGTGCAACATATATATCAGGAAAAATTTACTGCTAGATCCTTATTTACCAGAAGGACTGATTTAGTAAAAATAAACAATAATGAGGGAAAAAAGTGATTCTTATACTTTTAAGTACATAGAAAACCTTTCTATTGTCTAACTTTCTATTGAAATTTCACAGCTGAACTTTTGGGATTCGATGATTACATACCTCCCTATGTATCAGCCAGTGGCGAAGACGTACTCAAAGGAGTCAATTATGCATCTGCAGCTGCTGGAATTAGAGAGGAAACTGGACAGCAACTGGTACCAATAGTTTCTATATTTTGCTTCATAGTCCATTCACTTATTAAAAAAATATAATATAAAATTATTAACATGATCTTCTGTGAAAAAAGTTATAATATAACTTTTGGGTTGAAATGATTTTTTATATGACTTTTTTAATCTTCATTTATTAACCATTGGGTTATGTTATAAAATTGTTCTTCTGTTTGTAGGGAGGGCGCATTAGTTTTAGTGGGCAAGTGCAAAATTACCAAAACACAGTGTCCCAGGTTGTGAATATACTGGGAAATGAGGATTCAGCTGCAACTTACTTGAGCAAGTGCATTTATTCAATTGGATTGGGTAGCAATGATTACCTAAACAACTATTTTATGCCTCAATTCTATTCCAGCAGCAGGCAGTACACAACAGAGGAGTATGCTGATGCTCTTATAGAAGCATACACTGAACAACTTAGAGTTAGTCTCTCTATAGCTCTCTTTATTTGTCTTTTACCACTTCCTTTTATATTATCATCTTCAATCAGTTTATTTTAATATCCAAAGTTTTAACTAGCCATTTTCAATTATAAAGTCAGGTATAAAAAAATATTTTAAAGTAATTAAAAAGAAAAATTAAATGATTATGGTTTGAAGTTTGACTGTTTTTGTGTTTGTCATATTTCAGACTCTATATAACTATGGAGCAAGGAAAATGGTGCTGTTTGGGATTGGTCAAATAGGTTGCAGCCCTAATGAATTGGCCCAAAACAGCCCAGATGGTAAAACATGTGTGGAAAAAATCAATACTGCAAACCAATTGTTCAACACCAAATTGAAATCTGTTGTTGATCAATTCAACAATCAGCTTCCTGATGCAAAAGTCATTTACATAAACTCTTATGGTATATTTCAAGATATTATAAGCAACCCTTCAGCATATGGTAATTATTTTCTACCTAAAGAATTTTCTAGTTATTAGTGTTATGATTTGTGTCACTTTCTTTGGAATCAAATAACTCATTGGACATTAATTTTTTTTCAGGTTTCAGTGTTACAAATACTGGGTGCTGTGGGGTAGGAAGGAACAATGGTCAAATCACATGTCTGCCAATGCAAACTCCATGCCAAAACAGGAGGGAGTATCTGTTTTGGGATGCTTTTCATCCCACTGAAGCTGGTAATGTGGTTGTTGCTCAGAGAGCTTACAATGCTCAATCTGCATCTGATGCTTACCCTATTGATATCCGTCGCTTAGCTCAGATCTGAACATGATCTAGCTAGTGGCTATAAGAAACTATGTGACAACCACATTTAATGTTCTTGGAATGTGTTATTTCTTTAAAGACATAAGAGTTTTTAATTTTGTTTGTTTTTGTTACTTTTAATGTGCTACATGTTCATGGGTTCTCAAGTACAAGTGTAATTTGGAAGACTGCATATATATATATATATATATATATTGATTATGAATGATACGCTGTGGGTTGATTGATGCTCCTTATGAAAGTTTTATCCGAAATTAGTTTGAGAACATTTACAATAAACTTTTTCCTATCAAATTTCTGAAAAGAAGATATATATCAAATACAAATATTTGATGACAAAGATACATCTTTTAATAAAAAGATTTTACTTTAATTCAAATTTCACGTAAAATTTAAAAGAAAAAATGTTTAAGATATGCATGATTAATTTAAGAGAATGTAAAATTAATTTGAAAATAAATATTTTAATATACTACGAGAAAATCCTTTGGTGTGTTTTAGGTAATTTAAAACTTGTAACATTTCGGGCGTTAACGAGGGCGGGAAGTGATTGTCGGTGCGAGAGGCACAAACAATGAGCGACTTCTAACAGGCTTCCAGCGAGGTACATGCATGAATGAATCGAATTGATATCCGAAAGAGAGAAATTCCAAAGACTGTGTAGGTATGAGATTTCATAGTTGGGGATAGCTCACAAGAATTACTTGGTACATACTAACAAGATGCATCTACTTTTCGACAACCCAGAATAGAAGAACTCCATTGTTAAGCGTGCTTGATTTGGAGCAATTATGCGATGGGTGACTTCGTGAGAAGTTTTCTCAAAAAATGTGTGAATGAGGATAAAATACTTGAAAAGTCTTGTGTGTTAATGAGTGAGGATAGTCGTTAATTCTTGAAGCGATCAGACAATACAAAACTTGTCCATAAGTGTCCCTAACCAGCAAGAGTATGAATTCAACATGATTAAATCATTGACAAAAGCATAAGATCGATGAAATGATAAGACTAAAAATTGCTGAAAATTAAAGGCAGCAATAAATCAAAAATCAAAAGTACGGTCTCAATTTAGCACAAGGAGAATGTGTCTAAGTTCAGATTTCTCTGGAACCAGTCAATTATATAATCATAATTTGCATCATTCATGTCCAATGTCACATCCCATAATATTCCCGGATAAAATCGAGATTCATCATATTTCGGATATTAAGGGTGTGTTTGGTACAAGAGAAATGTTTTGGTGACCGGGAATCATGATTAATGGGATACAATAGAAATTGAGTTTACTTGGAATCTTACGAAAGAGGTGTTTGGTTCGCCAAAATATTACCGGGAATATTGGGTAAAAATTACTGATTCCATATTTGGTTTAGAACGAAATATGACTTGGAATATGAGGTTATTTTACAAAAATAACCCCAAACTATTTTTACTTTTGTAATTGATAGATTGGGTCTAGATTTTTATGTGTATTGGGGTATTTTTGTCTTAAAATTTATTGTTGTGCTTTCCCTTTACTTGGTATTCTGATTGGTATTCCGAATTACCATATTATTTTTGGTAATCTGAATAGTGACTTTTCTTTATAAATCAAATTACCGGTAATCCTTGGATATCCGGGAATCGTAATTTATTCCTTCTACCAAACGTGATAATTACATTTACCAAAGAAGGATTACCGGTAATCCTCTTCAAAAACTTGAAACAAACACCCCCTAAGGGTATAATCTCACGCAACCACTGCACATGATAAGGAGCAAGGTGATTTGCAAGACATACAAAAAAAAAGTAAAGTTATTTTGGTTCCCTAACAACAAAATATGATCCTCACTTTAATCTCTTATAAAAATATTAGTCTTTCGGTTCTTATGAAATTCAAAGTAGATTCATTTTAGTCCTTTTGAGGGACTAATATGGGTCTTTTATGAATTTATGAGGAACCACGATTTCAAATAAATGGGTCCGCTTTTAATTTCGTAGGGACTAATTTTTTTTGTAAGAAACTAAAGTAAGAATTATGTTTTTTTGTTAGGGACCCAAAATGAACTTTACTAAAAAAAGAAAAAAAAGAACAGTCCAATAGATCAAAACAAACAAACAAAAATATAATCTCATTCCACTTGAGAAAAAAAAGTAAAAATAAAGAAATGTTTATATATGTAAACAAGAGATTGTAAGAAAAGAAATTATTAGAATCAAAATAATAAATCTACCATGGGCAGAATAGTAATTTTAGCAGAAAAAGAATTAATATCCAATTCTTGAATTGGCAATTAGGCCTTATGGGACTTCCTTACATAGTGCAAAATGTCTTGAAGTCTGATTTGGTCTTTCCTTCAATGCAGTACTTGCTTGGATAGGATTCTTACACGAGGCTTGATTCATGCTAATTTCAATGAATACATGAAAGTCTTTTGTGGCTGACTATTTTCCTTTTCAATATGGTCTCAATCATAATGCCAAGTCAGTATCTATAATAAGCAAAAATGCTCAGAAGAAGAGTGTGAGAGAAAGAATGAACACATTTGTCCTTCAACTGTTGGTTTTTGAAGAGAATTTTTAGGTACTTACACTCTCATGGCCAAGTAGAACTTCTAGTTAAAATATATTCTCTTTTGTAGGTTCCAATCATTTATCTGATAGTATATGGATGAAATTCACTCACTAGAATCAACATATGGTCTTCCAATGTCTCACAAAGATAATTTGTTTCAACAAATTTAATTTCACCACAAAACTTGGTCATACTTTCCTTTATTCTCTCTCTCCTCTCTCTCTCTCTCTATATATTCAGTGTAAACTTGTAACCCTTCCCATGTTGTGTTTGGACTACAAATATTTTGGATTAGAACCAACTTTTGCCTCTTACACATTTTTTCGATATGGTTTGTGAAACTAGGTTATGGTCGGTGGTGCTTTTTTTCTTCAGTACTGCAACATACATGCAACATTGTGTTGTTGGAGAGCCTCAAGTTCCTTGTCTTTTCATTTTTGGAGACTCTTTATCTGATAGTGGAAACAACAACAAATTATCAACAGATGCAAAAGTTAATTATTTGCCTTATGGGATTGACTTTCCAGATGGCCCAACTGGAAGATTTACCAATGGCCGAACTTCAGTTGACATAATCAGTAATAGTTTGCCACAATTAATTTCAATACCTTTCTCTCTATCACATGGTCATGAGATATGTCACCTAAAATTTTGATAACTTGAAAAGAATAAACTCTATAGATTCATATGATTTTTCCTTTTTGCTTCTGTTTTGTTTTTGATGTGTCATTTTTCAGGGTTTTTATTTTTTTAATTTTTTTTCCAACCTAAATGTATGTGATTGCAGCTCAACTTTTGGGAATAGACAAATTTATCCCACCGTATGCAAATACCAAGGGTTCAGACATACTTCTAGGTGTGAATTATGCATCCGGTTCAGCAGGGATTCGCAATGAGACCGGCACACATTTGGTACTAGTCAAACTCTTTTTACTTTTATGTTTGGAAATTTAATTGTTTAAAAATATTTTTGAAAAAAAAAAATTATATATGACTTTTTTTCAAAGGGGTATGTTTTTCTCAGGTACTTGAGATAACATATCTCTCCTATTCACACATCAAAAGTTGTGTCAATATTTATTTATTTATTTTAAAAGAGTAGGCCAAATATGTTTTATGTCTATGATATAAGATAACAAGTGTACTATAACATATTTTGCTTTTTCAAAATCCAAAATTATTTTTCGCATTAGGATGTAATATTTAAAAAACACTTTTAAGTAAAAAAATAGTATTTTGCTTATGTGTCATTTGTTTCATTCATGCATACGTACGTGCCTTTGTAAAATCACATGACAAATTTAGTTACTCTGCCACTGCAGGGTGAGGATATCAGTTTGGGATTGCAGCTACAAAATCACAAAGACATAGTTTCCCAGATAGCTAAGAAACTTGGAAATGAAGACAAAGCACAGAAATACCTAAATAAGTGTTTGTATTATGTGAATGTAGGGAGCAATGATTACTTAAACAATTACTTCTTGCCAGATCATTACCCATCAAGCCGAAAGTATACTCCTGACAAGTATGCTAGGGTTCTTGCCAAAGAATATTCAAAGCAATTAAAGGTATTTACCTTAATTTCTAGCTAGGAAGTTTCTTATAATATATAAGAAACTGGGAGCAAGAAAGTTTGTCTTTCATTACCCAATTGGTATGTTTTGGTGTGTGCAGGATTTGCACAAACTGGGAGCAAGAAAGTTTGCTTTGATTGGCTTGAGCCGTCTAGGCTGCGTTCCACATGAAATTTCTGTTCATGGAAAAAATGGGTCAATGTGTGTTGATGAGGAGAGTAATACAGCACTCATTTTTAATGACAAGCTTAAAGCTGTAGTTGATCGTTACAATAAAGAGTTATCTGGTGCCACTTTTATCTTAGTTAACAGTGCTGTGATCAAATACGATAACCCTCAATTACCAGGTAAACAATTTTTTCTTCTTATATATTGCCAAATTACAGTTATATGGGCTTTATATAATTTCCTGTGTTACCATATTCAAACAATTTAATTCATCTAATATGGTTTTAACATATTTGACATCTCCTAGCCAGCAGATCGTATCTTTTAATATATATAATATATAATGGGTTTTATAAGAGTTATGTTGTAGGAGAAATGACTGTGTAATGTTATAGAGATTCGTTTTGCGTGCCATAATTTTTTTTTTCTTTTTTCAAGAAGTGTGGGCCCTATAAAATGTTGTGTGTGTAGGAAAGTTTGTTGTGTCATGTTACATGACAAATGTAAACCCCGTATATAATATATATGATAATGTAAGTAGGTTGGAAAGTAAATAGAGATATTGCTAAATTTGGTTGGTGGCATTGTATATGGATTTCAGATGCTAGTTGCTGTGAAGTGGGGTCGAATGGGCAGTGCATCCGTGATAAGGAACCATGCAAGGACAGGAACCTATTTGCATTTTTTGATGCATTTCATCCCACTGAGATGGTCAACCGAGTCACTGCAATAAGTGCTTATAATGCTCCCATTCCATCCTTCGCATATCCCATGGATATCAGTCATCTTGTTAAGTTGTAAACAAAATGGAAACTCAAACACAAGTTTCAAATTTCTCTAGTGAGCCACCGAGAATGCAGTCTATTACTATACAATTTCATTTGCAATGTACAATTGCACATATTGCTGCTGCTAATAGGCAATAACTTCTTTATTTTAGTTTGCATAATTGAGAAGGGTTCTGCTATCAATCATATTGTTGCTGTAAAGCTCTCACTATATTCAGGGTCAAGATTGGATTACAAAATATATATATATATATATATATATATACTGAGCAGGGATATACTGCACAAGAAGTAAAAGAAAACAGTTTATGACTGTTGTATTGCTTCTCAACTTGCCCTACAGTGTTTTCTTTGATTGAAATCCAATATGTAAGCTTTGAAATATTTACGACGGCATGGAAGTAAGATTCCATCTTTCTCATAGTTCTAAGCAAACAAACAGGAACGGTTGCACGTATAAGTGAGACCGTGGATTCCTTAGTATGTGAAATAGACATATATATATAGAAGCCTATCTTACAGGAAAAATATAAAAAGTAAACAAAGGTTGACAAACATGTCTATGTAATCTCCGTAATCAGAGTCTTAGGTACGTACACATATTAAACAGACTATAGAACCTTTCGTTATAGATACAGGGTAGCTTATGGAAGTCTGCAAAGCCACAACATATATAGTACTGAGAGGAAAACTTAAATGAATGCTCTCAGCATAGTTCTGCTTATATTTCCTTTTGGCTTTTTAGCATTCATCTGCTAACACACTAGATGCCAAAATACACATAGCTGAAAATCGAAGTCTTTACCCTTCTCAAGCGCAAACTCATCAACTGCACAACAAGTACAACACTAATTAGATTTCATGTCTGTTTATTCCGAATATACAGTGAGTCAAGTGTCAATAGATTTTATCCTGTAGACGGAATATATAGATGCACATGTCAACTCGTAAACCTCAAGAACGTCAACGTAAATGACTTGAATATTAAAGCACTATTTTTGCAATCCAAAATTAGTCATATTATTGTTCTTTTTTTTTTTTTTTTTGTACCATCTTTACTAAAGGGTGAAATCTCCCATTGTTACCTATTTTAATTTAAATGTTATGAAAATTTGGGGAAGTAATGAAATCATAATTGTAATTGACTCACTTGTATATGTAGAACAATTATGTCAAGAACATGCTCTTTTGTATCTTGAAAGACTTCTTTGTTACAATGTGGTCTTTTTTTCTTTTCTTTTTCTTAATGAAACTGTGAATTGGGACAAGTTAGTATCTATGTATAAAACCAATTAATTGATATTTCACAGGTGATCTAATCGTGTTTTTCTCACACACAAGATACACACACAATTCTCTAAATATACTTCTATTGTATTACTGATTCTATCAAACCACTATTCAAGAGTTACAATATGCTTTTTATAAGCAACAACAAATGTTTAAGAATAATAATGACTAACATAGGAAATCTAAACATATTAAATGTCCACTAACATATGACTAGGGACACACCAAAACCCTCCGTATTTCTATTTTCTTTATTTAAATTAAAGATTAACCTAACGTTAATGGCTTCATTCTATATCTGCCTTTTACATGGACGTATGAATATAAGCGATATGAGATTTGTTAATTGGTATAATAGCTATTGATTTAAACACATTAGGGAACTAAAAACAATTATTATAAAGTTATATAGAATGAATATGAAGCCTAGCAAGCAAGGGAGAAGCTTACACAAATTGAAGGGACATATGGTCTTGCCTTGCATACTGATTACTGGGTTGTAATCCAGACACTTGGAAGTAGCTGCGAGAGTCAAACTGCTGCGCCTGAGATTGCATAGAATCATAGTTTGTGCCTCCAGGCAACATGTTAACGTTATGGTGGCTTGTCTCACTTTCGGCTATCTGCAACCCCATAAAGAAAAAAAAGCCATAATTAGTAATGAAACTACAAAACTCACGCATATAGAAAGCATGTAAAAAAGGACGGAGAGACAGTGACAGACCTTTGCTCTAAGAAGCTGGTTATTATTATGCAAGTCTATCTCCTGTAATGTACATTTTAGTTATCATACTTTAAAAGCCATTGTAGAAGAACTAGCCTTGTAAACATACCAAAAAATTAATGTAGGCACCAAAAATCTTTGTCCCATTTTATCAGTTCTCTTGAAAGGAGCCTTGTTAAAATGGTTGGTATTGTACTCATGTGACTCGAAAATCATATGTTTGAATCATGCATGTAAGGTGGGTCTAAATACATGTTAAATATTTTTTTTATAACATGAAAAACCTATATACATTTTCACTCTTATCTTTGGCTTTTTTCTTTTAACTTTTAACTGTATTTTGATAACAATTCTCTTTAATTTTAAGTAGAGTCATATAATATATATTATATTTTCTCCATTTTGGTTTTTAATTTTTATAATAAATCTAGATTATAATGTTATTAATTAGGAAAATAATTGTATTTGTAGGAAATTGATTGTGTAATGTTATAGAGCCAACCAATGTGAACCCCGCCATTTTAAAAGTGGTGGGGTTCACATTGGTTGGCTCTATAACATGACACATTCAATTTCCTACAACATGATATAACTATTTTCCTATTAATTATTTCTCATAATGCAATTTTGTATTTCATATAATGATTAATAATGTTATTTATTATATCTCAATGCAATTTTGCTTATGTAGTTTAGGAATATATTTAAACATTTTTCTTTCATTTTAATTATCCTTTTTCTTTCCCTGCTTTTTATTTTGAATATTTAAACAAAGTAAAGGTAATTCAACTTTTTCCCCCTTTCCTTTACTTTAAGCCCATCATATAGGATAAGGACTGAAAACATGTTTTTGTAAAGATGTTAATTATCTTAATCTCTTCTACCCTCCCCATACGGCAGAAAACATAATGCTTCCACTACTTGGCAAAATTGCAACTGGTATATGTACCGTGTAGTATAAGTCTTTTCACTGCTCACTATATTTAGATAGTTTTGCAAGCAAATTAAGCAAATCATACACATGATTACTAGTAATTAGAACAAATTAAAGCTAAGTGGTGAAAGACTATAGAGATATGTTCATACCCAAAAAGCGACCAAGAAAGAGTGCAGGATATATGAATATAATTAGACGGGGAATGATCCGTTTACAAATTTTTACAAAGTATTGTAAAAATTTCAGGGAGAAGATAGTGTAGTTTGTAAGAATTTGTAAACAAAAAAGTTTGTAAATATATCCTGCCCCTAATTATATATATATTTATATAAATATTATTACATGTGGCAAAATATTCTTACATTAATATAAGAATAATAAATCTGACATTAAATCCTAAAAATGGATTCTCTACATTTGACGAAGATAATTTATTAAAAATTAATAATTAATGAGTATAACATAATAAATTACAATTGTTTGATGCATAAAAATCAATGGCTAAGATTGAGTATAAGACTTATAATTCTTATACCGTTATAAATTGATCTTGTCCCATACTATATATGATGTAGAATAAATTTCTCCTTGCTATTGTGTTTGACTCAACTAGTTAAAGTAATGAAACTAAGACTCTGCATTTCACGCACATGAAATTTAATCTCCCATGAACTAGTAGTTACGCTTGGAGGTCATCACTCCCAAAGGATATAAATCATATGCATAAAATTAACAATAGTCAGTCAGAGATTACCGATTAAATATTTGAACTTCTTTGCTAAAATGATATAATCAAATTAATATTATTCAGTATCTTTTACATATATAAATAATATAAAGGGTCAATTTAAGCAGTACAAAGTATTTCTTTCATGAATATTTGTAAAATACATTGTGTAAAGTGCTGATCAAATTTCTATCGGTGAGAAGTAAAATTATTTTCTGAAATAAAGATCACAAAAATACCTAGTTTGGAAACCTCCAAACATGACCAACCAAAAGGAAACAGATAAAAAAATAGAACGAAAAACAATCGAAGAAGCCCAATGCTTTATGAAACCCTAACAGAGGCCATTGGGCTAAACCTATAAATAATCAGACACTCAGTTAAATTGTAATTTATAGCCACTTAGAACACAATCACAAGCTAAATGATATATTATTCACCTTTCAAAATCAATGAATTAAGTTCCAGAGTGCTGACAAAGACAAACAAATGCAAAAATCTATGTTGAAAAATTAAAAGATGGATACAAGGGAAACATTTACCCTTTTCTGCATGTATTCGATTTCTGAAAATAGCAGCTCGTTCTGATGTAGGTGATTGGGAAGTAGCACAAAAAAGGAAGAAAGGGAAAGAAAAAAAAAATTCAGAAAAAAGCAGTATTTATAAGCTAATAGCTAAATAAGGAGAATAATCCGTCTACAATTTTTTTTTACAAATTACATTAAGTCTGACCGGTCATACACTCTTGATTGAAGTATGACCGGTCAGACATAGTGTAGTTTGTAAGAGTTTGTAAACAAGAAAATTTATAAATATAACCTTCTCAATAGATAAAGTCATCTATTATTTCAAAAATTATAGTGAGAATCTTTATATTACAAGAAATACCTTCTTGGAACGAATTTTGCTAATCCCTTTTTCCAATTTAGTCTCAAGGTTTCTGAGATCCTTGGAATTCATAGAGCTCAAAGCCTCACCCATCATTTGCCTGCAATTCAAAATATTTGAACCAAGGATGCTGAATTAATAATACTAATTACAAACATTTAAAAAGCTTGAGATCCCTTCATGTAATTTTTTTGTTTTTCAATTCTTCTTTCTTCATTGCGAAAACTCTTCTTGTTCTAATACAAAAAAGACTAATTCAACTTGCCTGTTGTGATTCTGCAGATTACTGATTTGAACACGCAGTTTGGCAGCTTCTTGCTGGTAAAACTGAGATTATGTAATGATATGGTTAAAAGGGTTAGTTGATTTATCAAAGTTACATTCAGCAATTTCGTTTTTTGCTATACCATTGTTTAATTAGTTCCAAATTGATGGACTCAATTTAATTATGTCACATGAAGAAACATAGAGAGGCAATAATGAATACCTGAGCATTAGTCTCTGAAGCGGATCCGCCACTAGACGAATCTGAACATGCTTTCTTGTACCTCTCAATAGATGCTTTGACGCTGAAATAGTAATAGTACCATTTACAATTCATGTTTGTTGTGTACTACTGGTAAGCTAAGTGATTTGGCAATGGCATATAATAAAGGGCTTGTAGTGATTTTTAACCATTGCATCGATCTTAATTTATTAGAAAATAATTTATATGATTGCTAAATCAAACAGTATACACCAGAATAGAGCCAACGTATTTAACTTCTTTAATTAAATAGTGCTTACGAAAACTACCATGGATTGAGTATATATATATATATAATTGCTAAGATAATATTATTAATGAAATTATACATTATAGGCAAAAAAAATTACCAATAAATAGATATTGTTTTTTCATTTTTTTTATTGACTTTCATTCTTTGTCTAGTCATGAAGCTGCTATCTTAATTTATTGATTTACATCCTTTAAAGTAATTAAGTAAATGGTGTATTTATAGAATAATAAATGATAATTAATTAATAATAAAAATTTGAAAACTAAATTCTAAACAATTCATGTTTTATTAATGTGTTTTTTTTTTCTTTTCTAAAAGTTACTTTAGATAACTTTATCTAATGTTCACCAAAATGACGTCGTTTTGGGATATAAATTATAGTGTTTTTGTAATTTTAATTTATTTCATGGTTATAATAGTCTTTATTATTTTAATTTTTTAATTTTTTAACCTCAAAATGACGTAGTTTCAATGAACATTAGACAAAGTTATCTAAAGTAACATTAGATATTTTTTCCCTTTATCAATATGATTGTATTCTGTAAAAATGCAAACCACTAGTTTCAAAAAAATTCCCTACACTCTTTTGAACCTCTTTATCCAAATCTTTTAATTCCTAACTTGGTTTCTTGTTTTGTCCCTAAATAGAAAGAAACACAATGAGAAGGATGAAGGTATGATGGTGTTCAATTAATTTGGGATTAACCATCGTAGAGCTGGCCTATGGTTGATGGTCAAATCATCAAACTGAACCTTAAACGCAACTCTTCAAAAGAAAAACTCGACGTCAAAGTATGATGGGATGTGATAAAAATAAAATGTTAAAATAGCAAACTCATTTTGCTTTTTAAGAATAAGAAACCTATGCGCCATTTGTAATCTACTGATACCTTAATTTCCTCGAGCCACTGATTGGCTGCTCCTGCCACGCTGGCACCAGGTTCCCACAATATGATTGGTTCAACCATTTTTAGGGCTATTTTTTGTATCTGCCACTTGGAGGAAACCCATTTCACGGTGGATAATGCTCTCAACCACACTTCATTGTCCACCTCGATTTACCCAAAAAATCCATTTGGTGCCAGCTTTCTAAAATCTTAAGTGATTTACTGAATATAATATGATTCTTTCAATTTCATTTTCTTTTCTGTCTTTTCTATCAGAATTTCTCAAAAGTAAATTTGTATTTTAAAATAAATAAAAATATTTTTTTGTAAATCTTAATGGTAGTACAAATACAAACATACTTTAAAATATTATGTAATATATAAGAGGCGTCCATTTCAACTACTGCAGTTGTTGCAGTAGTAATAGTTGTACACTTCCCGTTGCATGGAAGAAGCCAAAATGCTCAGAATCAGAACTCTCTCATTGGCTCTCTCGAATTGTCGTACGTTGTCTCTGTCCCCATTTACCTCACTCTCTCTCTCTCTTCCATTGAGCCTAGAAAACCCTTTTCTTTTTCTTTCTCAGTCTACAACTTTCATAAATAAGTATGTGAAAGATCTTGAGCAAATGCAAATACCAGTGTGGGATACCAACAACAGTGAAATCATGATAAGCCAGTTTGGACACTCTCATTGTTTCATCACACTGTCTTTCGCTGTCTTTTGCTCATTTTAAGCTATATGTAAAAGAATTTTTACTCTATGATAAAGAGGGAGAGAAGGGAAACAAGGGCAAAACAAAGAAAAAAGTTTAGGGGTATAAGAGATATAGAAGATTAACTTTAGGGTTTAGATGCAAGAATTAAAAAAAAAAGATATCCAAGTATGGGAATCGTGACATAAATTCTCTTGTCAAAACAATAGTCATGAACTGAAAATTCATGTGTGACGTGACAAAGATTCTTTCAACCAAGACAAACAAATCCTGGTGTAACTAGTCCTTAAAGCCCTAACCAGAATTACCAAACCCCATTTCCTAAAACGGGGAAAATAAACGAGAATATATGAGCTTTTTGTACCCTTTTGACTATTTTGAAAAGTTTTGTTTGACAGATATAAAAAATGTTTCCCCCCCCCGCCCCAGATTAACTAATGTATTAGATGCTGATAAAACCCTAATTTCTAGGGTTACTTTTTGACCCAGGCTGTGATCTTGACATGAATCAAGTGAGATTTGGGGGAAAACTTGGTTCAAGTTTGGCATGAAAAATCTTTATCTGGGTGTCATGTGTTATGGAGAAGATTTTTTTATGATGGGTTAGGAAAATAGATATTTTTCTGCATAACATAGTTTTAGACTTTTACAAACCCTAAAAAACCCTTCTTCTTTTTTCTGGATTTTTTATTTATTTGAATTTAACTTATTGACACTTGAAACTGTAGTGTGTTTTTATGTCTAACTGACGTGTTATTAAGAAACTGTCAAGGAGTTGGGAGGAATTGGCTAATGGAATCCTGACAACTTTGCTTTAGGCCTTCTTACCTTAGTCTTTTAGATGGGAAAGAGAGAGACATAGAGAGAGAGAGAGAGAGGGGGGGGGGAGAAAAAAAAAAGGAAACAAAGTTTAGGAACAATGTAAAGGGAATTAGGGGTTGGATGATCTCACAGGCTTGCATAACTTCCCAAATCCTTACCTATTGCTACTAACAACAGCATAGTGCTTCTATATCTATCTGTTACACTAGATCTATGTGCCCACCAGACCAAGAACTAGGAAAATTGTCATAAACAGAAAAAGAAAAAGGGGAGGAGAATGAACATCAAAATTCTTATATAGAAGGGAAAAGGGGAAAAATAGAAGGAATGAATTTTGGTTAGAGAAAACAGACAGAGAAAAAGGGGAAAAAAAAAACTCTATCTTAAGTGCATCAAAAAAGTGATTTAGTTCTTTGTGCTAAACTTCTCCAAAAGATCTAATTGCTTGAGCAAAAAAATATAAACCCAATTTCCCAAAAAGAAGCAGCAGAAACATTTCCATTCTAACTAACCAAAAACTGTGAAACAAAGAGAAAAAGGAATATAAAAATTGGGGAAAACACAGAAAGCTTGAAAGAGGAGAAAGCAAGTACCTGTTATTAGCATATTCATAGAGGCGTCCACGGCTTGAGAAGACTATTAGAGCAACTTCTGCATCACAAAGCACAGATAACTCATATGCCTTCTTGAGCAAGCCATTTCTGCGCTTGCAGAAGGTAACTTGGCGATTTGTGGTGTTCTCAATCCGCTTGATCTCAATCTTCCCTCTTCCCATCTTCCTCTGGGCAGAATCTGACATGGATTGGTTTGGAAAAGCCATGGTAATTGCAACCTGAATCAAGTAAAAGATCATAAATTTCCTTTTCCCTCACACAAAAAGAGCATATCTTTACAAAAACCATGAGTAAATTATGGCCTTTTTCTGTTAGGAAGAATCTGAAAAGGAAAGAAAAAGAAATGGAAACTTGGAACAGCCTCTTCACCCCTCAAAACCCCAACCCAAAATTTAAATCATTAGCTATTTAGCGTCAAATTTTAATTTGCTTGTGATAGATTACAATCTAGTAGAACCTGAGTTGCCAAAACAGGTTTTCAAGTGAAAAAGTTTGATTGACCCCCAAAAGAGGTGAAGCACTGAGAAAGGATTTCAAATGATGTTTCAATATATTTTGCTCACTAACCTGGTGAGGAATAACAAATTGAGAAATAATATTAAGGACAGGAGCACAGGTTTCAGCTCTTGATGTATATATATGTGTATACGTATTTTTTTCCCCCTCTTATTTTCAACTTAGCAGAACAGGAAGGAGATATCAGAAAATGAAAGCAAAGTGGCCAAAGATGGGTAATTTATAAAGTGGAAAACGAACTTTCATCCATGATGGTCTATGCATCTGAAACTATACTCTCATCTGCATCTCTATATATTTTGTTTACTTTCCTTTGTCATTTTTTTTTCTTTCCCCTCTACCCTCATTGATTGAGTGATATGTGTTAAAAGAGAAGGATAAAGCTGGAATAACCTATAGAATTAACCTTCCTTAAACATTTTTTCTAAAATTCATTATAAGCAAATGAAGTAGGGCATGAGAGAGAGAGAGAGAGATCTGAAAACGATTATTAATGGGGTGAAAAGGACATTGAGCGGAATTGCAAACATAGTGCAGGTTGTATTCCACAATATAATTCAGAGGAACCTCTTTTTCTCCTGTGTAGATGAGCATATTTCTTTCTAGAACTAGCTAATAATCATAACTAGTGAGTATCATGAGTACTACATTCCTCTTTTTTTAACTTAGTTTAACTTTAAAAATATAAATTTAAGATGATACATTACAAGAATATATAATTAAATTTAAAAAACTTGAATCTGACATTCAAATATATATATATATATATATATATATATATATATATATATATATATATATATATATATGAGAGAGAGATGTTATAGATGTTATACTTACTACCTCTTTTTCTTACTATCTCTTACTATCAAATCTTAATCGTTGATTTCCGTCAATCTAACGGTTATAATTTATTGGATCACACACACACACACATATATATATATAGGGAGAGGTTATAGTTACTACATCTTTTTTCTTACAACTTCTTACTATCAAATTTTAACCGTTGATTTTCGTCAATCTAACGGTTATAATTTATTGGATCACACTTATTAATTAATTATTAATTTTCAATAAATTATAACCATTAGATTGACGGAAATCAACGGTTAAGATTTGGTAGTAAGAGGTAGTAAAAAAAAATAGTAATTATAACATTTCCCTATATTTCTTTAAAAAAAGTAACATAAATAATTAAGCTACAATTCATATTTAATAGAAAGAAACCCATATTTGACAAAGAAAAAGTAGTGAAAGAAGAATTTTCCTTTAGCTTCAATTCATATTTAATTCATCATGTTCTTAATTTTCCACTTTGGGTATGCTGCAAATGCGTCAAACAAATCCCATTCTTCCAAGTATTCTATTAACTTTCCTAACAAACTGACAATAATAAACAATGTAGTTTTGTTCTTTTTATTCAGTATTTTAAGGTTCTAACTTCTCGTATTTACAAAGAAGACCATTAAACCGTTCATCTATTCTTTTGTGTTTAATCTTGGAGTTGTATTACTATGGGACTTTTTGCATCATTGACAGCATATAATTGTACCTCTAGGCATGAACCATAATAAGTTGAAGGCCATACTAACATGCAAGGTAGGTCACTTTTGGTTCTTATAATGCTAATTTTATTCCATACTTATTTATGTAATAACTTGTATATATAAATGAGCTTATCAAGTAATTAAATATGCTTGATTTTGCTTAAACAAGGACTTGAAGAATGCAAAAAATCATCTTTGGGAGATTTAGCATCACTGTTATATGTGGATGTTCCCAGCTCGAACAAGATTGTCGCCCGAGGAGGATATCTATAGTTTAAAAATAATAATAAATTTAGTTAATTTTAGATGGTCAAAATTAGATTTAAAATAAATCTAATTTTGACAACAAGTACAATATTGGATATGTTATGGACTAGTATATTGGGCCGCCCGACAGACATAGTCTCACACACTCAGCAAGAGAATAAATAAACATGTTTACACCTAGTGTTTCTTTACTCCCTTGCATACATGAAGAGTCATGTTCCCTCACATTATTGTGGGATTTATTGAGCAAAACGATTTTGACTTGCCTTTTCCATATGCTAGGGGAATCTTGTCAAGCTAGATACACCTCACTCCTTCATTAAGGAGTCATCTTCTTGACCACACCTTCACCATTCTTGTTACTCTATTGGAATTCAACTATACATAGTCAAATTGTGCCCATTACATCTCCCCTCGTGATTCTCAACCTTCATTTGAGACCCAGAATGACAAATCTTTCATTTGTGCTCTAGTTCATACTATTTCTTCACTCGATCATTATTACATTGATATACTTCATCCTTAGAGGGAACCAACACCTCCTTTTACCCTCTAATGAATTGAATGTAGAGGTGAGAGAGAGTTATCAATGTGAAATTAGATGGATTGCGAGTGTTTGGTTATGGACTGTAACTCGCAATCCATTGAGGTTTATCATCATGCTTAAAATATTACTCTTGGGTGGCTTGATGGGCAAATAGTTAATGTGTCTTTTTTTGGATACAATGGCCACCGAGGTTTGAATTTATGAGCTCATGCAAACTAGTCAAATTTCTCACCACTAGACCAATTCTAGTGGCTTAATGTGTATTTTCAAATCTAATGATCTTGATCATCTCAATGTTTATGCATCGTTCAACATAAATAGCTATCATGGACTCCAATTTGCCACATAATCCCAACATTAATCAACTCAATATGACCCCAAGCACACGGGAGCCAGACCTTCAACAATAGGCTAAAAATCAAGCCAAGATAAGTGCACCCAATAACATATCTTGGCCCAAAATTTTGAGTTTATGGATATTTTCACTTATATGATTCTTTTTTAGTCCATTTGTAACCAATATAGAATTTCACCATTAAAATTTCAATTCCCAATAGATATTCTCAGTTTATAGAAGATCTAAGGAATTGGATCTTCAATATCAAGAAAAATGTTAAAGTCTAACGGAATTGAGTTTTAGTTATTCTAACAGAATTTAGTCTTTAATTCAAGAAGTAGAACTTAATGAATATTTGGTTGCATGAAGGAAAAGTTACGTGAAATCAAACCCATCATTGCTATGGTTCCTTTCTCTCCGAGTACCCTAGGACAAAGTATTCAATCCGTCTCTTACACATTATCACAACCCAAAACCTTAAAGCATTGGATTTATGGGTCCTTCCACTTATATCCACGCCCATTACCATATGAGACTCATCACACTTGAATAACTCAATACCTAACATGTTAATTCTCATTTACTTTTTCATGAATTTGCAAACTAACCGAAAAACCTAAATAAGCTTAATTTGTTATTAGTTACAAAGTAGTAGTTTATAGAACTCCCTTCATTTCCAAATTGTAAATTCATGTGTTTGATTTAAAATTTTAGGAGACGATACATGCGATTTCACTTCTATTATATCATTTATTATCATTCGGTAAACTAGTTAGCGATAATTTTTCGTCTAACAAATGTTGATTTGATCTTAGGCTACTAGATTCACTTCCTTTTTGTGTGCTTATTAGTTATCCACCCTCAGTTTATTACCATCCATATCCCAGCTACGTTACTCCCACTTATTTCATTTGATTGGACATAGCAAGGAAAATTGTCCAGTGCGTACATTTTGGTTTATATACTATTGGATTGTGCCTCATGACCTATTATGGCATAGGACATGTCACCTATATATCCATGCCTACGTTGACAAAACATGTTAAGCATAGCTTTGACAGGCCGTTACATAGCAAGTTCATGTTAGATATTAGCCATGAATGCGGAAAGCACCATCAACGTTCCTCAATTATAGCACATATTGTAAATTTTATTTATTTATCCTTTTTTTCCTAGCTTTTAGTTTTGTTATGACCGTTGATTTGACTTTTTTGAACGAATGAGATTCATCACATGTATATGACATGGTCATGTTAAAATTAGATATATACCAAACATATGAAAATTATAAAAATATAGGAATAGATCCAATCTTTGCACCAGTTGCGCCTCACAGGGGCGCGACTTGATGCGTTCTCGTGGGACGCGACAAAGTCCTATAGATTCATAATTTGATTTCAAATGATTATGTTTTCGTAATTTTTATTAAAATAATAATATATTAATTTTTTTGCCAACATATATTAGTACTAGTGTATGAAAAGTAATAAATGAAACTTGAAGAAACTAAGAACCTGTATTGAAAAATTCAAAAATAGAAATAACAAAAAATATGAATCTGTAACAGAGAAACAAATAATAATGTAGATGCATACGTATATATAGAAATTTTGAGCCCAAACGAAATTGTTCTCATAATGCAAATTTGCCTCTCCACTGATGCCGAAGAACAATGGATAATCATATTATAGGGCAAAACATAATCATCTCAAGAATGGTGACACTACTGATTAGGAGCTCCAATAGACACAATCAAATGCTCGGAAATGATCAACAGTATGAATGGTGTAGAAAAAATTTTAGCAGAAAAATAAAAAACTTGCGACGATTTGAGGGAAATTGTTGAGGATAATTGTGGAGATTTTCAAACAAGGAAGAGTAATTTAGGATAAAAATAAAATAATTATAAATAAAAAATTATTTCTCTCGTGGCGGCTATGCTGGATGGTGGCACACATGTGTGGTGAATTACACATCACCTACGTCATTCCC